CACATTATTTTCCAGTCTGTGTTGCAGGAAGCGCCAAACATCGGACACGGGGGGGAACCACCGTGTCAACGTCAGTATCCTGGCACCGTTTACACCAAAGAGTAGAACAACAGCCAATAGCGTCGCTCCTCTGGGAGTGCTCACAGCTGATGGGCAGGGCCAGACCAATGAGCTGCTCAGCTCAAGTACACCAGTATTTGCATATCAGCTAGAATCTTAGGCTGTACTGAATAACACAGAGCAGCATATCAGTATGTACATTAGCACAGCGTCAGCAGCCGTAGCGGTGACAACTGTGAATATACACAGTTAGATCAGCATAGCCAGTTGCACTGAAGGATACAGGGCAACATAACAGCATAAACACTAGGGGTGCACGATTAACCAAATTTTAATCACGATCACGATTTTGGCTTCCCACGATCAAATTCGCGTGATCGAGTGATATTTAAAATGCGTCATTCCATTCACAGAAACGGAGCGTTTCTGTGTATCAAAGTTTTTTTTTTTTTGCAAAGCCAATCTAGCGCTCCGTAAACCACTGTCTGATCACGTGCCTCCATGAGCCCCAGTGCGCGAGAGAGACCGTCAGCACACGAGTGACAGTGCACGAGAGAGACAGAGTGTCCAAGAGCGCGCTCGAAAGTGCGCGAGAGATACCGAGGCTGCGTCCCAATTCGCCTACTTATACTACGCCCTAAAAGTACTCTTTTTGTGAAGAAAAAGTACATACTTTTGAGTGTGTAGCAAAGGAGTAGGCAAGCTTTGGGACATACTACTTCGTCATCTTTAAAGGACAGCTCTGTCGCGTGCATCCTATCACCGTAAACTGCCCTGTCAATCATCTCGTCACAGTTAAAATCCTCCAATCAATCTAATATAATTTCTTACCATTTCGGAGAGAAATGTTGTCGCACGTTCATCTGCCAGTCGTGGGTCTTTTATGCGGAGACTCTCCTCATGTGTTTGCAATTTGAATGTAATGATGCATTTAAAAGTTAATGGCTAAACGTATCTTTACAAAAGTTCACAATGCTGCTGCAGATGCAATAAACAGTCCCTCCAGAAAAACGCGATTATGCGATCGCATGATTTAGTGCATAATCACCCAAAGTCCGCATATTCATGCGGGGGCCGCATTTTTTCCAAATACGCCGCACTTTCGCAGCATAAATTGCCGATTTCCGTGCAAAATATGCAGGGCTTGCATGATTTCATAATCCTCGCATTTTCGTTGCAAAAAAGTCACATATATCTTAGCAGAAAGTTGAAAAATGTTGCCATAGGAACGTTATGAAGTGACGTAATTATGCGACGTGAACATCATCGAAAAGCTGTAAAACAGGAGCACACTTTATTTTTTTATATTTCATTTATTAATTTTTACAGAAGTTGTAGCATATGGTAAATGGTAAATGGACTGCATTTATATAGCGCTTTCACAGACCCAATGGCCACCAAAGCGCTTTACAATTTGCCTCACATTCACCCATTCACTCACTCATTCATACACCGACGGGCGACGGCAGCCATGCAAGGCGCCATCCAGCTCGTCGGGAGCAGCTGGGGTTAGGTGTCTTGCTCATGGACACCTCGACACTTGGTCAGGTGGAACCAAGGATTGAACCACCAACCTTCCGGTTTATAGACAACCCACATGAACCACTGAGCCACTGCCGCCCCATATTCCTTTTGTAAAGCTACAGAACTTGTTTGACTCATCAATGTTTTGTAAGTTTGATGTGTTTATTAAGGTCTTGTAACGCGTTGTGTCGGGAAGAAAAATAGGGATAGCTCACAGCTGAAGTTATTGCAGAGGCCAGACAGACTCACGGAGGCGATTGGCATCTCACAACTCGCAGTTTATTCCCAAATCAAACTCGTATAACTGTCTGTCACACGTTCTACCGTCCACATCGTTACTTAATAAACAAAATAAGATAAAAGAAGTAGCATCAAACAGAAATTACCCCCACGCATGGGGTGTTCGAGGCGCACATACAATATAATACTGCAGACAGTTCAACAGGGAGCGCGCAGCTCTTAAAGGGGCCACACCTTATTTCCACTCGTTACAGTCTGAAATAAAACAAGATGAGAAATTAAATATTCCCAGCACTTTCTGTGATGTAGTGTGCTTGCTTATCATAGGAAGTAATAAGAAATGACTCTTTACATTAAGGTAGTAGTCTAGTGAGAACAGGGTGTTGGGGGAATCACTTTTTTTTCTCTTTTTCATCAAACCGCAGTTTTTGCAAGTTCCCGCAATTTTTGCAAGTTCCCGCAATTTTTGCAAGTTCCCGCAATTTCATCACATAAAATTGCATAAATATCCAGCATATTCCATCGCATTTTTAAAGAAAACGGGCCGCATAATCAAGGATTTTGCCCGCAACAATCACAAAAAAAAACTCAGCGTTTTTCTGGAAGGACTGAATAAAATGTAGACAACACTGAATAAATAAATTTTGGTCAGGTTAGATACTGATAATTAATCACTTAAAGGTGCATTGCGCTAGTCTCTGAGTTTTTGCAGAACTATGCCCCCCTCTGGCGACAAGCGAAACTGCAACCAGAGGTGTGCACGCTCATGGACCACACGCATACGCACTCTTGCACAAGCTGTTCATAACCAAAGGAGCATCACCCGCACAAATATTTTGTTTACAGTCATAATGTCTTCAGAGGTAATAAAGTTATAAATCTGCAAGTCATTTTAAATATATGAAAGGAAAGGCATTTGAGTAAATTACACACTTAGGGGAAAACGGGGGTAGTAGAAAACTTCGGTTTTTGTTTCCATCTATCTCCATGTTGAACTGTTTTATGTGTTTACTGTATCCACTTATGATTGTATTATTATGGAAACATGTTCATGAACCGTTTTATCAAGAAAAAAGCCAACTGAGGATCCCGTTTGAGCCCTAGAGCAGACCTGAGATCTCTCCATTTGTTGAAAGCCTTCCCGATGTTGACTCGCGTCTTATTCCGACGCCTGTCTGACTCCAATTTGGCCCTTTTGGTGGCACTAGACAAAAAATTTCTTTTCTTTGTCTTACGTGGAGTTTGCGTTGGGGTTTCGAATGAACTACAAGCCGGTCTCTTTGAATCCATCTTCTACTTTTGTCGAAAGTTGACTAAAGTTTTGTCGCTCGAGTTGTCTTCGCTGATACGGAGAATGGCGGCGCCGGCGAATATACACAAACCTGCCAGACATAGCCAGGTGAGCATGAACGCGCAAGATGTCACGCCCAGTCTCAAATTCCGTCCCGAATCCCTCTTATTTATTTTACTGTACAGGATTATAGAGGCAATCGCAGTGATCAGAGAAGGGCTCATTCAGCCCATCAGGCAATTGTTTAAGCATGTATGGGTTAGAAAAACGGGTATTTTTAACATGAAATGTTGCGCAATGCACCTTTAAACCCCTTTATCTAAACCTCTCTACACAACCGCCGGACTCGCGCGTCCTCCATGTCTGTAGTTGTTTAACACTTTTCACTCGTGTTTGTAGTTCTAACCGAATCCTCGTCCAACGCGCGATGGGTTGTGGGCAATATCAGCCGAGTGTGCATCGATCTGCACTTCGGATTCTGACCGGATATAGTAGACCATCCGGGTATCTTTGGAACACTCATTTCAACATACTACGATTTGGGACGTATTAATTCTATTTTCGAATACTATTTAGGACGGGTAGTATGCGAATTGCAACGAGTGTGTCTGCGTGCGAGCGACAGCGCGCAAGAGATACCAATTGTGTCTGCGCGCGAGAGAGACCGAGTGACAGTGCACGTGAGAGACCGAGTGTGAGCATTAGTAAATTGGTACATACATACTACATAGTAATATATAATTACTATATAAGAGGCATGAAAGTTTGATTAATGGACTCCAATAATCAGTACTACAAACTGTTGTTTTGAACTATTGTTTAATAAGTAGAAACAATTCGAGCTCATAAACTTTCATATGGAGGATTAAATAAGATTCAATTTATGCAGTAAGACTTCACAACTAATCACTGACACTGTACCACAACATTTTACATTTCTTAAGCGTCAAATAACAATGACTCTGAATTTCATCCATTAATCGAACTTCCATAGTGCATAGTTCTGCCTTGAAATGTTCTCATTTGGTTACATTCTGTTATGGAATATTTGTTTTTTATTGATTGTATATTTTGCGCGTTTTATTCACATCCATTATGCAGGTACAATGCAAGTTTATATTTTGCTTCCTAAAATATATTTACACAATGTAAAATAGCACCCTGTTGAAGTTTTGCTACATTTTCTTTATTGTTTTATTTATTTTTATTTATTCTTTAACATGAGCAGAAACTGTCTAACAAAAGCTTATTTGATGTCTATTTTATAGTAAAAACCTTATAATCTATCCAAAACTAGTCAACGAAATGTTGTCATTACAGACACTATTCTATATCGCGATTAGAACAAATCTCATTAGGCTATAGCAATATAGTTTGGATGTGTTCATGTAAAAATAACGTTTACTAATGTAGGAGCGAGAGTGAATGAACGCACAGATGCGATGTACATAGTAACATCGCGCGCACGTCTGTGCCATTCATTCATTCATTCACACATAGACATGCAATTCATATTTAAACAGTCTTTGTGCAGTTTACAGACACTATTCAATAACGCGATTAGAACAAAGCACTTAAGAATAAATGACTTACTACATCAGCTGAATCCATGCTCCTCGAAATGAAACTACCAGCACTTCTGAGGTAACTTTTCCAGGATTATTACGATAGTATTATTCCTTACAGCGCAGCAAGACGAGGTAAAGTACAATATTCATATTAAACTGGATGTTTTATCCAGCTGATGTGGGCGTTTTCATGGCTTGCCTCAACATTTGCGTTTGAATAGCACGCGCTCTCCGTGGCTGTGGTCAGATTAACACGCAGGGGTTAAAGTGAAAAAAATTCCTGAGCCTGAACTTTTTTTTGGGGGGGGGGGAGTGCGGACTTATCTTCAATGGCACCATTTATTTTCAAACAGCTGTATCTTAATGGCATCTTTTTATGAATGAAAGCCAGTATCACTAATATTATAGCTACTGATGTCTCTATGAAAATGATTTCCCCCAAAATTTTAAGCGTTAGGCTTCAAAAAATATAAAAACTTTTAATTTAAGTGAACTTAAAACAATCCTCACTTAAACCCATAATAAATGTCATTTACCTGTACCATACAGAAATTGAATAAGGTTATAAAACAGTCCGCACTGCATAAATTATAAATTAAATATAGATTAATCCTTAGCAAAGCTACAAGCGTTCTTAAGTCAAGAGCAGTTAGTAATTTTCTCTGTTCCCTCTGTTCTTTAGGTTAACTTTACTGACAGACAGAATTAATGAATCCTGTCACTTTAAGATCTGTCCTGCTGGCAGGATCTCATGCATCTCATTCTCTCACTACTATTTACTTCCATTTAAGATTTTATTTAACTCATTTAAGACTGTTCTTGTGAGGATACTCGACAAAACGGACATTCTGGCATAAATGTGTGTATTATTGACTGTTCGTTCAAGCGCGAAAGAGAACTCGATACTGGCGCGCGTCTTTCTGTGCGTCGTGTGTGTGCGCGCGCGTGTCAGGAGGACATTCACTGACAGCGCAATCTCTTTTGTCTTGTCCGCAGGAATGGTTTAAAGCATTTGCGTGAATAAGAGCGTGATCATAACCCTAGCTAAAGGATGACAGAAAGAACGGATGGATGCTGCGTTAATTGCGTTAAATATTTTAAAACGTTAAAGCTGGACAAAAATGAATCGCATGCGTTGATGTTGACAGCACTTGTCATACATTGCTGACAGAAAATACTGCGGTTTGATGTGGACTCGTTTCATTGGTAAGTTAGGCCTACACAGAATGTTCTACATCTAATATTTAGCTAACAGTCTGAAGTTACCCATTATCCTGACCTGAGCTAATTTCCTGAATCAACCAACTCACATCTCCTTTCTTTCTTTTCATCCATGATAACATTAGTCACCTGTTGTTGTTTCTGGCGTTTCATCACTAACTGTGTCGCAATTTATTTTTTTATCGTCTATGGTCGCAACCGCTATACCTGCGCATTAGAACTTTCAGTGAGCTATTTTACACAGGCTCGGTTCTGCTCCTCCGTGGCAATGATCGACGGCGTGCGGTTAAATATCATAACAAACGAATTTGAAAGTGGGGGGGACATGTCCCCCCTGTCCGCAATGGGAAATTACGCCCGTGGGTAAGACATCATCCCCGGGCTTTATGAACTTGCGCTCCATGCTTTCACCGACGACGCTAATGTGACTTATGGATCTCAATCACACTGTGTTGCCAGGACCCGCCCTGCTCTGCTTCTGATAGGCTTGTGACGTTAGTTAGAGCCGCGATCCTCTCATATGATTGGTAGGTGAAATCAATTGACTCGAAAATATTAAACCGCATGCAAGTTCCCAATTTTTTTTTCCCTCACGGCCGCACACCGGAGATCCGGCACGGTGCCGGAATACTTTAAGCCCTGAACACGTAATAAACTAATGAGCTGAAAGGAAAAAGACTGACATCTCTCTCTTTTCATACAAATTACATAAACTGAGAATATTTGTTTTTTATATAAATTACTTCATTTAAAAGAAGAGAATTTCAGCTTCATCTTTTGTGCCTGTGTGATAAGTATTGACTGAGTTACAGTTCATTTTCGGACGCGTTTCAGAATGGACTTCACTGACAGAGAGAAGGCAAAATTCGCATCATGTTTATTTTTCTTTATTTGACAAAAAGCACAACACTTTGTTTTTATTGTGATTACACACCAAAAAAAAAAAAAAATAGACACTTAACAGGATCGAATGATGTATAACACTTATATGTAAGATCAAAATCAGCAGACTATTTTGAGTCTCTTTTGCACTTATAAGAAAAAAAGTGAGCTGGTATCGCCGGCGATACCGCCGACCCCAGAGGGTTAAATAGACTAAATATATAAAGTTATGAAACTTCACTTTGCCCTCAGCCAAAACGTTTAGCCAGGGAACAAATGATAGATCAATGAGACAAAAAACCGCCTGTTAGATATACACAAGCCAATTTATATCTCATGTTTAACCACTAGACCAGAACACATCCTGGGATTTGAACTGGACTTGGCTAGATGTGAACTTTGAATTGGAACAGTACTTGGGCAGCGACTGATGACGTTTCACAAGTCCACAAGAACACAAGTACAGACAAGAACGCATATTGAGAAACGGCCCCTATTCCCTTCCATTTTCTTCAAGCTCACGCACACACATCAACATATCACTCCTCAATGGCACTTTCTCCACTATATATTCAATCCACTGCTTAAAAAAATTTCTACACCCTTGACTAGTGTAAAATTACAGACTGTTCTCTCTCAACATGTTCACAACAGACTTTCATTCAGGTCTTTTTCCTTTTTCCTCTCACAGAACAGTCTGCTTGACCAATCAATCAGGCTTCAAAAGCACAAATTCACTTTAGCTGCCTTTCTGTCTGTGTCTGAATCCTTGTGACTGCTTCAAAATCATCTGTCTTCATTCTAATGTATCTATCTGCAGTAAATAATCACATCCTCTTATATCTTGGCAATGGCGATTTCTGCTTTTTAGCAACAATTTGGATCCCTCTTTCCTCAAAAACTAATAAAATAATTTATTGTCTCTCTTTGTTGCCTAAAAACCAAAATGATAATCACGATTATTTTGATCAATATTGAGATCACGATTAATTATCACGATTATTTGTTGATTTTAACCAAAACAAATGTTATTGTCACATAGGCTAATTATAACTGCTTTCACGTCCATATTGTGCTACATTCCTGCTAATGTACAATTATGTGCATCAAAATAAAACAGGTCCTCTTATTCACCAAAATTCAGTGCATCTCTTTAATTTAATTGAACTGTTGGCATTACAATATAAAGTTCTCACCGCATCACTAAAAAAAGGACCAAAACCAAATCTTTCCAGACTGAGAAAAAGTAAATTTGTGCTCAAGAGTATCATGCTTTGCAGAAATCCAAAAATAAAATATAACTTTGATCCGATTCCGAAATCAGATGAGAATAATCAAGAACATCTAAAACTAATATTATTGGAAATATGTCTGTTCTTAATGAAACCAGATTGTGTTTGATCAATAATCGAGTCTAGGACGGTCTTAATTCTCTCAGCAAATATACACGCAAGTATTTTATAGTCATTGTTTAGAAGACAAATAGGACGGCAATTATCAATAAATAATAAATCCTTTTTTGAGTTTCTGATTTAAACTTGGTGGAAGCTGGCCAACAGAAATACTTTCATTAAATACGTTAAATAAAAACGGCGCCAGTTTTGGGGCAAAGCACTAATAAAATTCTCCAGAAAGCCCATCCGTCCCAGGAGATTTGTTATTTTTTAAACGATCAATTGAATCTGTTATTTCTTTAATACTTAGAGGTTTGTCACAAAGATCTTTATCTTCTGGTAGTATACTCTTAGGTTTATCTAGAGAGGCAAAAAAGGAGGAAGATGATTGTTCAGAGTAATTAGAGGTATAAAGCTTACTATAGAACATTGAGCAGAATTTAGAAATCAACTTCGAATCAGAGATAACGGTGCCATTAATATTGATTTGGTGTACAGTATTAGCACGTTGTTTTTCCAAGCGGAAAAAGTAAGCAGAATTCTGCTCCCCCTCTTCGAGCCATTTCTTTCTGGAGCGAATAAAAGCGCCCTCAGCTTTTCTTTTATAGATCTAGTCTAATTTGTTTTGCAGTTCTGATCTTCATTTGTAAGCATATCTAATCCCTTTTCCATAAAAGAAGAAATGATTGAAATAACATTATCCTCCTCTGCCCTTCCAGCCTGGATATAGGAGCTACCAAAAGACCTTAAAAATTTAGAGGATTCGTACTTAAATAACTCCCAATTATTTGAATAAGAATTTTCTGTAATAGCTTTCTTTAAATAGCAATCAAGTAAGCGATTAATTTCTAACTTAACCATTTCAATTTTTAAATACGAATTATTGAGCTTCCAATAAGACGTTCTGGTGATTCCCTTCTCTAGTGCGAAAAAATTTATTCGTATCAGAATTGCTTTATGGTCTGTCAAAGGAGTCGGGTGAACAGAAACTGAAATATCTTCTTTATTTAAATCCTTTGATATCAACCAGTAATCAATGTGCGAGTAGCTACTAAGATTCTTGTTGGACCAAGTGAATCCTGAATCGTCTGGAAATTTTTTCCTCCAAATATCTATTAAATCGTACCTATCCATTAATAGATTTAATTGCTTAGTTGTCGAAGAATCCTTACCTGGGGGCCAGCGATCAATCTGGTTGTTAAGAGTAATGTTAAAGTCCCCTCCAACAATAATATATGCACTAGGAAATTTAGACAACCTATTCTACTTTCATTCTACTTACTATCCAATTAAGTAGTCGTGAATTTTCTGCATTGGAGTTGTAGCCGTACATATTGATAACTAAAATCGTAATATTAATAACAGATAAAACATGAATAAGAAAATGACCATTACAATCCCCTTCAGAATGTAAAATATTGCCATTAAAACGATTCAACATAGTAATAACACCAGCTGAACGCTCAGAACAATTGGAAAACCATACATCACTCCCCCATTGCGATCTCCAAAATTTGCTATCCTCAGGAATAGAATGCGATTCTTGTACAAAACAAAGGTCAGGTTACAATTGCTTGGCAAACAAAAAAAGAGCTTTACGCTTTAAAATATGTCGCAATCTTCTGGCATTTAAAGATAAAATTGAAAAAGACATTAACAACAAATTTGAAAAATCAAAAACAAAAAACCCAATGTCACCTTTGTAACGGAAAGTAAGTATCCTTGAGAGAATTAACCGAACGCGGCGCATCAACACCAGCAGTGACAGGTGAAGTCATAACCTCTGAGCAAACAAGAACTTAGGTGATCTTTACCTGGATTGAAAAGTTCCAAAAGCGCCCAAACAGGCAACATACGATACGGGTATTAACATATTAAGACATTTTGTCCTCGTCACCTATTGCATTCCGCTGATCTTCCTCGATCTGTTGCAGACGAAGTTCGACGCCACCGATGAAGGCACGCGCCCCGACAAAGTACGCCGATTTCCCTTCACTACGTGCCTTTTGGATGGCAGGCCAAAATTTAGCTCTGATCTCCTTAACAGCCTGCAGAAGATCTTCAGCAAATCTGAGGCCCTTTTCATGTAGAAATGAGTTGTTCTTCGCCGCGGCCCAGACTGCATCCCGATATGTTCTTGATAGAAAGCGAAGTATGACACCTCTTGGTTTGGACACACCCGGTTGCCTCTTTCCTAGACGATGCACGATGTCAATTGCCTCTGCCAATT